ACGCGCGCATGTGAGAGAGAATGATATGGCAAGGAGTACAAACAAATAGGTGCTTATATTATTTGTATTATAATGTTTATGTATTATATGTACTACAATATGAATTTAAATGTACAACTATTGATTATTTTAAAAAATGTTTAGCGTAATTTAAAAAAAGAGTATTTAATTTTTGTGTGTTTATAATGGTATATACTGTGTTTAATTTTGTTATATAAACCATTTCAGAAATTAATCTTCTATAAAGTAAAGCTTCTTGGTCTAAAACCTTAACGGAACCGAAATCGAATGTGTGGCCAGTCTTTCTCACATACATGTAAACAGCAGAAGATTCTTTTTCATTTCTACAGTCATTTTTATATTTCTTAAAACATTTTTCTACTTTCCGAAATGTTTCACCTACATAACATTAATTACAGTCATTGCAACGAAACATGTGGACTGAACATAGTTCATCTTGAATTGAAATTTTGTCTTTTCCAAAATAATTTGAAAATTTTAATTTGTAATTGGGCTTAAAAACAACATATTAATTATATTTTTAAAAATGTTATTTAAGAGTTTGTTCATAACCGATATTATAAGGTAAAACAACAAAATTCTTAGGTTGATAATCTGATACATTGATATTACTAGTAGATGCAAATTTAACTATTTTAAGTATAGAATTCATATGTTTAAAAATAAAGTCGGAGAGATAATTGTTAGCTTGTAAAATGGTAAAAACTTCGTTGAGGTTGTGTTGATGGAATGATCTATCTGAAAGTTTAATCGCCCAATCACCTAAGGAATAGACCACTCAATTTTTTTGGGAAACGGGGCTATCGGAAAAGAAGTTTAGATGGATATAAGCATGTGTTTTTTTTGTACCAATAAGTTTTAATTAAACCATAGTTGTCCCAGTGGATTGTTACATTTAAGAAATCAATCAAATTATTAATAGATTTTTCTAATGTACATTGAATGTGTTTATCTATACTATTAAAATATATCAAAATGTCATCGATACAACTATTGGGAATGCAGGCAATAATGTCATCAACATAAATTTTAAAATATTTTATTGGAAATTGGCAAGTATTAAAAAGAATAGTCATTCTATCCTGGATAACAAAGTCAGCTAAAATTGGACTGCATGGACTGCCCACAGCAGAGCCAAATCTCTGTCTGTAATATTTGTTATTATGTACAAAGTAATTGTGGTTTATAATAAATTTAATTACTTCTAAGAATTCATTTCATAATAAATTGATTTTTAAAACCAAAACATTTTTTTAATCGCACCTTTGACAGCCTTCAAATAAATATTATTAAGCAAAGAGGTTACATCAAAGCTCACAAGACAGAACTCTTTTGGTACCTTATTATAAGAAATTTCATTAATAAACTTTAAACTATTCTTTACATTATATTTTAAAATCGGCAAATTAGCTCTAAGAAAATTTGCGACCCACTTAGAAAGAAAATAAGTAGGAGATCCGATGGAAGAAACTATTAGTCAAAGGAGTTTGTGAGGCTTGCGCACCTTCATAAAACCGTAGCATCGTGCTAAATCACATCTGTCTTTAATACTTTTGAATAATTTTTTGTAATATAATGACAATGGTGTCCGTAGTGCTTGAGTGAAATGCTTTAAAAAAACAACCATGTATATTATTTTGAAATCTTGCTTAATTTTTTAGGTCTTATGCCTGCTTTGCTTATATTAGCTCTATAGTAGCCATAAAATTTTATACGTGGAAGTTCAACTTTTATGTGTGTTGATAATTTTTCCATGTTATGACATATATTAAATCTTACATTTTTATTTACATCCTACAAATGTAACATAAACAGAAATTTGTGCATTTATTCTTTAAGGCTTACGATACTCAATATCAAGCTGAATGCCAGTTAGTGGTACTTAAATTCTATTAAAAAATATAGTAGAGCTGGCTACTTTATCTATACATAACGTTTAGTTACTTAATTTTAATGTCTGTGTTGTATTTTCTCTTTCATGGTTTAATGTACCTTTTTGCATTTCATGAAAGCTTTAAAATGCAATGATGGAGGCCTAACAAGGTAATCATTAGCATGACTTTGTTTGCAATACCCAAGAATTTAAAAAAAATTTCTTACATTTGCTAGACAACGTTAAAACAAAGCTTTAGCCGTAATAAAAGAGAATTTGATTAACTTTCTTGTAAAGATGTTAAATTATTACATTTCACTGCAATGCAATTAAGCATTTGTAAGTTTAATTTAACTTTCTTTACCAAATAGATTTTTATTCTGAAGGCTTTTTTATCATTCTTTTTGTTTAAAAAATAAGACTTACCAACACACTTGACCTTTTTATTAAAAATTTTCAGTCCCAAAATATTTGCGTTGAGTTATTTTTATTTCAGATTAAAAAAAAAATAGTCTCTGTAAGCGTAACATACATTAAATTTTCAGCTTTAAAGAACTTTTTTTTTTCGCAAGATCTCATCTAATTCCATAAGACTATGTGAGTTTTCATTTTAACCTAACATCGTCATAACCGATAGAATAAGCTGGAATGGAATTCCATATGCTGCTACTAGCTCTCATAGTTTTTTGGGATTAATGAATACATACAATTTTTGTCACGTTAAAAGTTTTTTTAGACCTTTACTTATTTGTTTCTCATCTGAGCTCCTGTCCTGGGCTTGTTATAATTAAGAAGACTAACTTAAAACATAAGCACTTTACTAAGAATTGTCCGTCTTTGATAGTTCTTTTTAAAATCCTTCAAAATAAGAAAATAACTTTAAATAGCTTATAAGGATGAATAAAGACTCACGATGGTGGTACACATATCTGATTTAAAAAAATCGAAGTAATAGAGCGATGGTGATCAATTTCTCTAGGCTGCAATTTGAGTCATAGTGTAACTAATCAGACAAATAGTAAATTTGTAAAGAGTTCTTAGCATACTTATTTCACATCTGACACACACGTCTTGTAACAAAAGCTTTGTGCATGAAAATTTGTCAAAATGTCATTGATTTTTATTTGTCTCACAGCTCCTTATTAAGACTTTCCCAATGTACACTGGTATAGCAAGATCAGAAAAATAGCCATGTTACAAACAAAATCTTTAAAACTAACAACTGAGAATATCGAAGAAACTTTTGTTTCTCATACATGCTGAAGAGTACCACAAATGTTAATTTTTAATTTTAGAGCGGCAATGAAAAGCTTATCAATAAACACTTATTTGTCACAGAATATTTACTTTAGCTCGGTCATTTTTACCTTCCAACCTAAATTTTTGACAATTATATTATGTGAACTACAAGAAATTTTGTTGTAAATAGTTCCTGAAGTACAAACAAAATAGATGTGAACAGCATATGTATTTTAATGTTTATGTATTACATGTATTATGATATGAGCAACTATTGATTATTTTAAAAAATGTTTAGCGTAATTTAAAAAAAGAGTATTTAATTTTTGTGTGTTTATAATGGTATATACTGTGTTTAATTTTGTTATATAAACCATTTCAGAAATTAATCTTCTATAAAGTAAAGCTTCTTGGTCTAAAACCTTAACGGAACCGAAATCGAATGTGTGGCCAGTCTTTCTCACATACATGTAAACAGCAGAAGATTCTTTTTCATTTCTACAGTCATTTTTATATTTCTTAAAACATTTTTCTACTTTCCGAAATGTTTCACCTACATAACATTAATTACAGTCATTGCAACGAAACATGTGGACTGAACATAGTTCATCTTGAATTGAAATTTTGTCTTTTCCAAAATAATTTGAAAATTTTNGAAACTATCGTTATATTAACTCACATGAGAAAAAAGACGGACTTTTCAGATTCATTTTTATATAGTCTCTCATGTTTTTTTAATCTGGTCGTAAGTTTTGTGAACTTTGGCGTATATAGATTTTTTTACACTTTTAACATTTCTTTGAGTATACGACGTGTGTCTTTTGTACAGTGTCAAAGGTACCTTTTTCCAAACTTATAATTGATGATAATTTGTTGTTAGTCCTATTTATTGCATTAAAGTTTTTGGATTTCAAGAAATTATAGCATTTAGAAGCAATAATTGGATTGTAGGGTATAATTATAAGCGGTTTTTTGGGTTTCCTGAAGAAAATGTTGTTGATTTTTATTACTTTAACAGTTTTTTTAAAATCTATTTTCTATTATTTTTGTAACAAAGCCTTCTGGATAACAATTCCTATGTACAGAATGTTCTTAGTTTTAAATTTACTATCATAAAGTCTTAAAATTCTGTCAATCATTTATTACTATGACTTTTTCACTACTGGTGATGTGAGTGGTAATTTAATACACGATTAGTACTTCTAGGTTTTTTTTACCAATCAAGAGAACAACTTTTGTTGTCATGTCTAATGATTAACATGTCTAAAAAGGGTAAAGAGCCGTCAACTACGTTTTCCACTGTGAATTGTACAAAACTATTGTAACTATATTATTTATTCGAAATATTGTATGCTTGTGTTTTTTTAATTATTGTTAAGATGTCATCTACATAACGGTTGTTTAGCAAAATATTATCTTGTAGTTTAGATAGTATATTTTCTTCAACCTGTTCCAAAACTATATTAGCAAACACCGGGCTCGTACATACCTCATGGGATACCCTATGGTTTGATGAATGTAATTTTTATTGAACCGGAAACAAGTTGAGGCAAGCAACAACTCCTCACCCCCCATAAAATCATCCATAGACATGCCAACAAAATTTTGTTAACATTTCCTTTTATTTCTTAAACCTCTCATGATAAGATCATGGGAAGATCATTTCCTAAGCAATGTTCAAGTTGTCAAAAAACGATCAAGTGGAAGTTCTAAGAAAGTTACTCTTTCTAATTATATAAATGAATTTAAGTTGTTAATTCTTGATTTTACTGTGTAAGCATAAATTTCTAAAAATCAATAAAAATAAGTCAATTTAATAAATTTCTGAAACTTTTTGGACTATTATAAAATGTGGAATAATTTTTAGACCGAAATACTCAATCATAGAAGTCCGAGATGGATATAAAATTTCCATGCGGCTCACTATCAAACAATTCCATAAAACCGACGTTGGTAGTTACAGTTGCGTATCAAGTAACAGCCTAGGAACAGTTGAAGGGGTATCAAGACTTTATAGTAAGTACACGTTATTTCCTCTTTATTTTATTTAAACCGTGCATAATAAAAGTTGCAGTTATAGTCTTTAACTGCTTTTAAGTACACTCAGAAAAAAAAAGTCATAACTTTTACCGTGATTGTCCTTACAAAAATTACTGTGCAGATGGTAATTGTGGGACAAAGCAATACCTCAGAACTGTTTAACCTAACTTAGTCAATTTTTAACATGTTGAACAGTAAAAATCGTCGGGTGTGCAAGAAAATTTCCCCCCTACTGCTCTTATGAATATGTATGCATGTATGTATGTATGTATATATAGATAGATTATTGCAATGTAGCATCATTTGTTCAACTCGTCCGTACGTAGAGATAAGATCATGAAATAATTTGAAAAAAATTACACATGTTTCTCATAGTGTCTGTGTAACAACAGTATTAACCTGAAAATCCAAAATATTATCATTATGCAAAAATAATTTTAACCTAAAAACATGCAACCTGCACATTCAGTCAAAGAAAGTCTGTTGTGAATTTTCGAAATTTACATCCTTCTTCGTACAACAATCTAATCTTAAAAATAGGCGTACGAATTCTCAGGTCATCATATTAAACGAAAACCATGTAAGAACTATTTTGCTTAAAACGTAAGTAACGAACGTAGTGTATTTTAATAAATAGCTCCCTAACTTTTTTCCTGAGATCCAAATAAAGAATGTTTTACAAAGAAAAATGAAAATTTTAAAAATTCATAACAGACTTTTTTTGACTAAATGTGAATGTTGCATGTTTTTACATTAGAAATATTCTTGCATTAATAATAACGTTTTAAATTATTGGATCAGTACTAGTGTTATGTAGACACTATGAGAAACGTGTGTAGATGTTTAAACTATTTTATTTCATTATTTTATTTTCGAGTACAAACGAGTGAAATAAATCATGCTACACTGCAGTAATCAATACATATATATATAGAAGAGCTGTGGGGGCAAATTTTCTTGGGCACCTGACGATTTTTACGGTTCAGCAAGATAAAAATTGACTAAGTTAGGTCAAACAGTTCCAAGATGTGGCTTTGTCCCACAATTACCATCTGTATGGTAATTTTTGTAAGGACAATCATGGTAAAAATTATGATCTTCTCTCAGTGTATGAATTCTTGAATATCTACTGCTCTTATATTTTTTCTGAAATCATAAGTACAAAACATTCATGATGAAAGTTATCAGACACACCACAAAAATTTAAGAATTATGAAAACATGTATTTACATATTTAATTAAGATACATAAAAAAACGTTTACATAAATACAAATTCTTATACTTATGACGTTTAAAACAATTTTTATGTTTATTAATAAATCTAGGTACTATTTATTTGTCTATTATAAATGTGCATGTGAAATTCTTATTGAGGAATGTTTGTTTTTAAACTTACATCCTTACTTTAAAAAATAGAATCCACTAGACGACTGTTAAGCACTTATGCCAATATTTAATTATAAGTATATTTTTTTATTGCTAGTTATGCTAAAAAATATGAAGTAGTTTTTTTAGTTTGTTACAAAAAAGTCTGGATCTTAGAGAGAATTATTAGTTCAGTTTTTTAATTAGGCTTTTTTTTTATCAAAAATTAATGATAATTCTGTTAATTTCAAATTCCTAAGTCTTTAACTATTAATTAAAACGCTAAGTATTCTACTAGCTCTGCAGTTATTTATGATTATAACGTATATAAAGCATTAATGAACCTTACTTTTGGCAAGAAAGTTTATTTTTTTCAGCACACCCACTACTCTAAAGCATATTCATATTTGTATGTAGAACGTCTAAAAAATGGCAGATGAGGGGACAAATAATCTGAACGAAGCCTTTGTGCACGTACAGTGACATAAGATATGAAATAAAACATGAAAATAAAGAAACAAGCATTGTTACATCCCAAGTTGATAATTATATTATAACTAAAAACTATCCGTCCATCAAAATTCACATAAGGCGTATTGTGAATATAAAGCAAGCTCATTTGACAAGAGGAGCTTGTATGTCCTTTATGTGTGCGCGTGTGTGGGTTAGCTTTAAGGTAAATGCTTCATAATATGCTGACATAGAATACGGCCAGCCTCATTGTAAAAATGCATGTAAGAATGAATGAGCAATTACTTGCTCATTAATTGTTTAATTCTGATAATGTTTAGCAATTAAAAATTTGTAATTCACTCATTACTTTATTATATTCAAATTTGATTGTGAAATCCTTAGAAGGATGAATTTAAAAATTTTTAAATTACTGTCACAATTGAACTTGTATTTTGCGTTGTTATATTGCTGATACGAGCTTTTATCATAATTGACCCAAAAACTTAATCACACTTGTCAGAAAATGAGATTGGTACTGTTGTTTTGTTATTTCCTAATATGTAAGATCATAACATGTAGCATTATCATACAATTGTCAAAGCAGTCTGCAAGAACATGGCTCGCTGGTTGACCTAATTCAACCAAAGGCCTCTTTTACTCGTTCTGATGCTATAAAAACGCACCATCAAGAGGTAAAAGTGCTCTCTTTACGTCTGTCACCTGTCCTCTGAAGGTTTAGTCAACTGTTGACTCTCACGACTTGTGAGTACCTTATACACGTAAGGCATTACGTGTTGGCTGAGGCAACTCAAGTGCGTATCGAGAACATCAAAAGTATTGGACTACGCTAAGGAGCGAGGTACAGCAAAGGAGGCCCGCCAAAAGTGATTCCGGTGATAACGGAGGAAGCAGAAATTGCAACATTCTACTGGCCAAAAACTCGTTCGTGTAAGTAAAGGAAACACTGACGGTTACAGCATAAAGCATTAGAAAACTCCGAAGCAGCAGTAAAAATAGTCAGTGATAGATGTAAGTAAAATATCAGTAATAAAGTTTTCGTTGAACCTTGTTAAAGTGACCCGATTAAATTGTATTTAACTGAACAAATTATTATTAAATTGCTTTAATAAAGAAATAGATTAATTACTCATTATTTAAATAAAGATTGTTATTTGATACAAAAATAAAACAAATGAAGCTCACGAGCTGAAATCTAAGAACCCCATGAATGGCACTTAAATAAAACAGTTAAGACCAAACTCTGAATCAGTCAGGTCATAACAGTATTTTAATAAGAGGTTTACAATAAATTGAAAGAAATTGTGAGATCTTTTGAGATTTGAAATAGCATGTGAAATCTTGATGTAGTAAAGATAGAGAGAAAAAGAAAAAGAAAGATATAACTGTTCATCAGTGTCAGGTACAAACGTCTGTATACTTATGTATATACAACTAATACATATCACATACTTTGCAGAATAAGATTTTGGTTTTGACATTGCATGTACGCAAAAAGTAAGGTTCCAAAGTGTATAAGTCTTATTTTTTTATACTTTTAACTTCTTATGTTTCAGCAATAAGAGCAATAAATATGCACTCAATGAGTTGAACGTACTGCAAAGACAAAGACTGATTGCAGAACTACTAATACTTATTAAATAATGTAATATAGCTGGTCAGTTATGTTTATAATTAGAAAATCTCTAATTCTTTCTAGTAAGTACTACTAATCTTTTCAATTACCTCACTTATTCAGTTTAAGGGGAGATATTCAGTGCAACAGACTGTTTGGAACCCATCGAGGGGCAAGCGGTCAGCAAATGATTGGTGGAGAGCGGCACACTAGTACTTTTTCTGTACAATTTTATGTCTGTATCGATATATTTAGCTTTACCTCATGTGCAGCCCCCACTTTTTGTCTTTTGACTTTTGTAGGGCTTACTGCTCTTGCGGCTTGAGCTGATCACTCTTTTTTTGCTTAGACGTTAAACTAATAGCTAACAGTTACTTGATGTAGCTATTTAACCCCAAACACTCAAGTTGGCATGTCCTTGCTTAATGAAGGACTTTTTCTGAGTTCCATTACCTTTTTATGCTAGGATATGTGCTGAATTTTCTCCACTGCTGAATGATATGCAAGTTTTTTTGTTTAACATTGGTAGCTTGAGCGCCCAGTACCTTCACCAAACACTTATAGTTTTCAAACATTAAAGACATTCATTAAAGTTGTCGCTCACTTTTTTTTATATTAGCTTAACAAGCCTACAGACGTCATTATCTGGAGCAACCTTGTTATTTTTAAAACTGTTGTATAACTTTATCTGTTATTATAATCTTACATTACCAGTAAGTAAACAATCACGTATTATTATTTAACAGAAGTTGTTATTTTTAGCTTGTTGCGAAAATTCTATCCTTATAAATTGGCTCTTATAACAAGGTAATAACGAGTAAATTTTCGATCCCACCGTAAAATATCTGTCTGAGTTTAATTCATAACTTCATCTTTAAAACGTCATAATGAGCTCAACAATGATAGAAAAATTTGATAGGATAGCATAACATTAACCGTTTCAATTACATGTTCATCGATAAAGTCATGCTAAGCATGTAACTTCATCAGTTCACCTCAGCGCTAGTGGTTTCATCGAAAGAAAATTAGCTCAAGGCCAAGCGAAAAAGGTTTCTAGCTCTTTCTTCGTGCCACGAAGCTAGCTATTTAAGTGACTCTTCCCCTTCCCTGCTGCTTCATCGTTTTCTTACTTGTAAACTCAGATGTAGCAGGCCACATTATTCCGCAATATAACGCAATCAAGAAAGTTGGAGTAGAAGCGCAGCTTCAGTAAGGTGAGTAAAGATTATGTTGTTGTAATCCCATACTGCTAGAATTTGTTGTTCTTTACCACGCAATCTTGCAAGCACACTGTAAGTGTTACGTTAGCTAGTTCATCTAGGTAAATAAGAGTACTTTAATAGAATGACAAACATATTTCTTAGTTTGCTTGATTTGGTTTGGGTAGTATTAATTCGTTGATATTACTTTAGCTCAACTTTATTATTATTAAAGCTCTTGCCATACAGTTTGAGCTAACTTTGTGCATAATAAATTTTTACTTTAAATTCAATTGATAAAGTCGCAGTGACAAGTTAAATGTGG